TGGGATTACAGGCTTGAGCCACCGCGCCTGGCCGTATCTGGCAGTTTTTACAGGAGAGCTTTTGTACTATTTGGAATTGATTTCAACTCTTCTCATTTAGTTATTGACACTAATAACTACATGAAATGAATCCAGTTTTAGTGGTGTATAATTTTATTTTTCCAGTTTTCAGGTTCATCGGACTTAAAAAGTAGGATAATTTATTTTTCTTTTCTTTGTTTTTGAGACAGGGTCTCAATCTGTTGCCCAGGCTGGAGTGTAGTGGTGCAATCTCAGGTCACTGCAACTTCCCCCTCCCAGGCTCAAGTGATCCTCCCACCTTAGCTTCCAAAGTAGCTGGGACCATGGGTGCGGGTCACTACACCCAGCTAATTTTTGTACTTTTTGTAGAGATGGGGTTTCGCTATGTTGCCTAGGCTGGTCTCACTTGAGCTCAAGCGATCCACCTGCCTCAGCCTCCCAAAGTGTTGGGATTACAGGCGTGAGCCACTGCACCCGGCCAATTTATTTTTCATATGCTCAGAATTTCTCCCATTCTCTGAAATAGGTCCACACATTTAATTTCTAGATGTTATAAATCCAGACATGCAAACTTAAATTTTACACTCATAAGAAAGTTCTTGATATTAATGACTTTATCCTGTAAAACTCTGGCTCTCTTACATGGGAGAAAATTTTTATAGACCATTATTAGTTGCAAAGAGGGTCACATTTTTATAGGCTAAAGCTCCAGTGAAAGACCTCAAGGATTTATAAAATAGAATATGGAGAAAAATGATCGTATTGTAAAATCAGAAAACCAAAATTAACATCAGGGAGTTTTTACCAACCAACGGTTATTGTCTTTTTAAAGTTAAGGGGATTATCTAACAAGTTGGGGCCATGGAAAATAAATATGGGAGACGTTTTAGATCAAAAGAAACTTAAGAGATGAATACAAAGCACAATGTGTGATCCCCAACTGAATGAATAATAGCGTGAACAAGCTTGTTGTAAAAAAAAAAAGCTTAGAGGGACAATTGGGAAAGTCTTGAATATGAAAATGTTAAATATATGGACAATATTAGGGAATTATTTTTAGTTTGTATTAAGTATAGTGATGGTATTGTAGTTATACAGAAAATGTACCTATTTTGAAAAATGCTTACTGGAGTATTTAGGTGTAAATGTCAGCAATTTGCTTTAAAAGCATAGGAAAAAAGCAAATAAAACAAAAAAGGCTTCAGAATTAGGTGATGGGGGAGATGAGGTAAGAAAAGAATGAATTAATGAATTGAAGGGATGGGTAAATTCCACACACTCTCTTCTCTACTTTTCTGTATGTCTGATTTTGTTTGTAATGAGAGTGAGAAGTGGGGAGAATATGGAATGTATGTGTGTGAGCAAGTTGTGGGTCATCCAAGTGTCCATGCAAGGTACTTAGAGGCTATGATTTAAGGATACTAACTCTGAAAATTATGTAATAAGGATTAGGAAACTTCTTTTAAAAATTAAATTGGGGGAGAATATGAATATTTTCCCTCAGAATATTTTCTTTCTAATAACATATATGTAATTCATAACGCCAAGTATTCCTATTGCACTCTTCTCAAATATGTTATCCATTTAAACTTTTGTTTTGTGTTTTAGGAAGCTGATGATTTCCAAGAACAAGAACCCTAGTATTTGTTGAAGTTAATGGAAACTTTTCTTTGGCTTTTCCAGTCGTGACCTGTTTTCCAACCAGTTCTACCGCATATACAAGCAACATCCCTCTGGAGCCAGCACAGTGCTCTTCCATTTCACCAGTCATACACAGCCTCATTATTAAGGTCTTATTTAATTTCAGAGTGTAAATGTTTTCAAGTGCTCATTAGGTTTTACAAACAAGAAGCTACATTTTTGCCCTTAAGACACTACTTATAGTGTTATGACTTGTATACACATATATTGGTATCAAAGGGGATAAAAGCCAATTTGTCTATTATATTTCCTTTCATGTATTTCTTTTAGCAGCACTTCTGCTACTAAAGTTAATGTGTCCTTCCCATATTCTCAATTAAAAGGTGAGCTAAGCCTCCTCGGTGTTTTTGACTAACAGTAAATGGTAAATTCAAACTGTTAAATGACATTTTGATTTTTATGTCTCTCCTTAACTAGGAGACACATCTTGTTTTAATGACTTTCTTTCAATATTCCAGGTGATAGATTTTTGTTGTTGTTTTGTTAATTAATCCAAGATTTACAAAAGCACAACGCTAAATCACACAGTAACTACAAAAGGTTGCATAGATATGAAAAGACTGGTAGATGCCATTGCAGGATGAATCACCTGTCACTTTTCTTCTGTGCTGGGAAAAATAATCAACAATGCGGGTCTTTCATGAGCAGTGACAGACTGTTTAGCTTACTATGTTGCCCCCCAGTTCAATGATCTAGAATAACAGAGCAGAGCCTATGCTCATTTGCAGACTGGAATCATTAAGCAGTTTAATAAAAATATCGTGAAACAGTATATTACAAGTTTGAAAATTCAGGGCTGGTGAAAAAAATCAACTCTGATGATAATTTTGTACAGTTTTATATAAAACTCTGAAAACTGGAAGAAATTGTTAACTTTTTTAAAAAAAATTCTAATTCACTTGTTTATTTTAGGGGAGGAAGGCTTTGAGATGGAGCACAGAAATACCAAAGCTACTTTAAATGGAAAAAAAAAAAATTTTATTCTTTCTTTCCCCTATACTGGTAGATAAAGCAAACTTTATAAGTGGGCTATTGAAAGAAAAGTGCCTTTTAAAAGTGTTTAGTTTCCCAGTGTCTTTTCCAAGCCTAAGATACAGAAGTATTTGTTCAAAGGATAGAAAACATCTAAAAGTTTAGGCTCAAGATCAATGTTTACAGACTGATATTTTCAGTTTTTAATTGACTGGGCTGCAGATGTTATTTCTTTTAACAAACTAGAATTTTTAAACATTATCTGTATTTAAATGTATGGACCTTGATATTTTTCCAATACTATTTTTAAAAAAACTGTTTGATCTACATATGAACCTTAATTCTGAAATTCATTACATATCTGTTTCATTCTGCCTTTTATATTGTCTAAAAAAGCAAAGTTTTAAAGTGCAATTTTAAAACTGTAAATTACATCTGAAGGCTAGATATCCTTTAATCACATTTTATATTTTTTCTTCACAATTCTAACCTTTGAAAATATTATAACTGGATATTTCTTCAAACAGATGTCCTAGATGATGGTCCATAAGAATAACGAAGAAGAGGCTGGGCGCGGTGGCTCACGCCTGTAATCCCAGCACTTTGGGAGGCCGAGGCGGGGACTTACAAAATAATATGATATTCTTTGGCTCAGAATATCTAAACAATAAGTCTAAAAACTCTATGAAAAAAGCTAAAAATATGATAAGCTCTCTAATCGCTGTGAAGCTGTGTGAATCCTGAATCAAATTAATATGTGAAACTCCATCTAATATGTCCTTTTGCGTCTTTGTGGCTGAATGTGGCATCTATATCCACTCTAAAGCTTCTAAAACAAAATCATGTTTCCAAACAGGCTTGGCTTTGCGGTGGGCAGAGTTGTACATGCTCCAGCCTGGTGGCGGGCGCCTGTAGTCCCAGCTACTCGGGAGGCTGAGGCAGGAGAATGGCGTGAACCCGGGAGGCGGAGCTTGCAGTGAGCCGAGATTGCGCCACAGCACTCCAGCCTGGGCGACAGAGCGAGACTCCGTCTCAAAAAAAAAAAAAAAAAAAAAAAAAAGAATAACGAAGAAGTAGTTAAAAATGTATGGACAGTTTTTTCAGCAAAAGTTGCAGCTTATGTCTTGGCTAAATAGTCAAGGGGTAATATGGGCCTATTGTTTAGTGTCTCCTTCCTAAAGAGCACTTTTGTACTGTAATTTATTTTTTATTATGCTTTAAACACTATGTAAATAAACCTTTAGTAATAAAGAATTATCAATTATATAATTTGTGTATATACATATCTAAAAGTTCTACACTGCAGGGAAAACAGATGGATATATATTTTATCTTTACTGAAAAGTTTTCTTAGTAGAGACAACCTGCAAGTCAATAATGGATACATTAGTTTCTACTGGGTAAACAGAAGTATACGGATTTCCACAGAATTTTCACATTGCTTTGGATACCTGGGAATTGGGCATAGCAACACTACTTAGTTTGAGCGTTCTTTCAAAGAAAAGTATCAAAGATTATATTTAATACTTTGCATTACATTTTTAATAGGGAAAACTACTGGCTTTCAAGTCTAGTAAAGAAATGGAAATTGAAAAATGGAAACTTATTCTTTCCCAAAGCGAAAGTATACTTTTATTCTCCTCCTGCTTTCATTGACACGTGGCTATTTCCAGGGAAGAGGCTTACTGATTATTACAGCAGTGTACTTATTGTACCATCTCTTTTTCAGAAGTATGTGACGCCATCTCACTTCAAGTACTGTGATAACATAACTTTCTTACTTTTCCAACCAAAGACACACAAATCCCAGTTCTCCTTTTCCTCTAATACAGGCTATAATGATTTGATCATCACTGCCACTGCCAAAAGTAATTTAATAAACCCCCAATTTTGGATGCTGTGATAGTTACCCTAAAAAGGACAACAACCAATGAGGCTTGTGGCACATATCACTACCAGCGCCTAATATATATTTATCTATGCTGTATGATCTCCCAGGTGTTTCTGAACTCTAAATTTACGGGAGCGTATTCTGAGAACCTTCAACTAAATCTCGAGACGTAAAAAACGATGTCTGACATGCAGAGCATCAAAATTATTTAGTTCTGCAGAATTCCACAAAAACAAACTTGTAAATATTTAAAGTCTGTAGCCTACTTCCTTTTCAAGCAAAATAGAAAAATTAGCTCCCGCCTGAAAGTTAATGAATCGCTGGTCAGTGAAACCAGGTGTGGTTCTGGAAAGAAGCCAGGTTCCTATGGTAACTTCGGATCGCCATTTAAGTTGTCTCTCGGCCCCCTGCCCTGACGTCACTTCCGGCGTTACCTGTGTCGTTACTGGGAGCTGTAAACAAGGTGTGCAAGCATCTGGAGAGCTGCCGGGATGCAGCAGAGCGGAGCAGCTGGAGGTCGTGGCTGCGCTCTCTTCCCTCTGCTCGGCGTCCTGTTCTTCCAGGGTGAGTGCTCCGGCTAGCTACGCTCCACTTCCGGCTTGGGGGGTTAGGGAAGATGGTCGCTTTTCCGGTTCCGGGTGGGGAGGGTCTCCGAAAAGCCCCCGCATAGCTCTGGGAGGGAAGGAGGGAGCGGGATGTTGGGACGATGTCATCACCACACCTTTGCGGGTAGTTGGTATTTTGTCAGTCCTTTTCTGAGCCTTGGGAGCTTTCCACCTTGCGTGACCTGTCATTGTAGTTTGGTGATGGCATACTTGATGGAACCACAAAGCACTCTGGCTTTGGGAGCACCCGGTGTTATTTTGTGATGAGGTTGACTGCTGTGGTTTGGGCGCTGTATACCCTGATTAGAAAAATGACAGTTCTAGCATTCAGTAGTTTGTCCCAGTAGTTTTGGGAAACAAAATCATGACAGTTGGTAATTTTATTTTTTGTAGGCGATTATTGTGGTCTGTAAAATGAAATATTTGTTAGTCACAGAAGAGATGTGATGTGATTCATTATAGAGAAGCATATTGATGAAAATCAACTACTTTAGCATTTTAATAACTTTTTTAATACAAGAAAGAGCATTTAATTCTGTTAAAATTTAATCGATTAAGTAGTATCAGAAGTAGGGTATTCACACTTGACATTCACATCTTAAAATTTAGGTGAGTTTTGCTTTCATATAATTTTCAAATTGCATAAATTTCAGTTCAACCTAATTACCTTCATTTTAATGTACTTCATTTTCATTTCCTGGATTTTATGTATGTGTGCCTTCCTGGGAAATAAAATATTAGTATATCTAGCATTCGAGTGAATTGCTAGCTTTATAAAATTTCCTTGAGGGTAATGGGGATTTCTGAAAGATATATTTAATATTATATAAATATAAATACTTTAATGTAAAGACTTCAGGTGTCCTACATCTTAGCAGATAAGGCTGGAAAGTTTTTATTTTAACTGGTGACTAATATTCATGTTGCCAGCACACCCCGTGATCCCTCCCAGCTGCCTGTGTCATCATAAGTCTCCAGTTTTTTAGCTAAATTACTTTGCCATATGGTATTTAGGCTGGCCTACCGTCACTCCTAATACACCCAGTCCACTCTCTCTCTCTTTCACACACACACACACACACACACACACACACACACACACGACATACTCAAATATTGTCTTATTGAGAAAAAAAATCTGGAAATGGTGTTTTCTTAAATCTAATGTCATTTTGCTTTGAAAAGCATGTGTCAAGTCCAGCAGATCATATAATTCAATGAAACATTAAAAGTTGATTTTACGATCTCTGTGTACTTGTGGAATAGATATTTTGCCTTTTAAAAAATAACTGGTGGTAGGGTGTGTGGCTCTTGCCTGTAATCCCAGCACTTTGGGAGACTGAGGCAGCTGGATCACCTGATGTCAGGAGTTCAAGACCAGCCTGACCAACATGGTGAAACTCCGTCTCTACTAAAAAATACAAAAAAAATTAGCTAGGCGTGGTGGCGGGCGCCTATAATCCCAGCTACTCAGGAGGCTGAGACAGGAGAATCGCTTGAACCCAGGAGGCAGAGGTTGCAGTGAGCTGAGATCTCACCATTGCACTCTAGCCTGGGCGACAAGAGTGAAACTCCATCTCAAAAAACAAAAACAAAAAAGAAACAACTGGTTTATCATATTATTCACATGCCATACAATTTACTCTCTTAAGGGGCATAATTGAATGGTTTTTAGTATATTCACAGTTGTGCAATCATTACCACGATCAATTTTAGAACATTTTCATCACCCCAAAGAGAAACCTGATACCATTAACAATCACATCTCATTCCCCATTTCTGTTTGCCCCTGGCAACCACCAGTCTATTTTTTTGTATCTATTGATTTGCCTATTCTGGACATTTTATATAAATAGAATAATATCTGTAATCCCAGCACTTTGGGAGGCCAAGGTGCGTGGATCATTTGAGGTCAGAAGTTTGAGACCAGCCTGGCCAACATAGTGAAACCCCGTCTCTACCACACACACACACACACACACACACACACACACACAGACAAAAAAAAATTAGCTGAGTGTGGTGGCATGCCCCTGTTATCCCAGATTCTTGGGAGGCTGAGGCAGAAGAATCACTTGAACCTGGGAGGCGGGGGTTGCAGTGATCTGGGATTGCACCATTGCACTCCAGCATGAGTGATGGAGTGAGACCCTGCCTTAAAAAAATAAATAAATAAATAAACTAAATGGAATTACACAATGTGTGCTTTTGGTGACTGGCTTTTTTCACTTCGCATGTTTTCAAGGTTCATCCATTTGTTTGGTCTTTTAAATCTTATGTGGTAGAGTTTGGTTTCATGTTAGTGTTTATTTGCCTTTTGTTTTCAAAGATAAGGCCACTTAAATTATTAGATTATTTGAATTCACCTTAAGTTATAAGTCTGGTCCTGCTATATCAGTTATCTAAGTATTTAGAAATGGTAGACTAGGGGACCTAGGGTTCTTAAACTTTTCTCTTTTTTACTTAAGTGTGCAATATGAATAAAATATCAGGAGATTTATATTTTAGAAAATGGGGCATACAAGATTGGGGGCTTTATTGACATGTTTAATTCTTTCATGTGTAAAATTACTTATGTTAAAATATGATTTTCTTGTTTTTCCCCCAAACAGTTTTTGTTAATTATTATGAATGTTTCTATAGTTGGCTGTTTTTACCTGGCAAGAATGCTTTTCTGCTCAGATGAAGAGATAAGGGCATTAGGCCTGGGATGGACATTTCTGAGTGAATTAATGTGGGATTGGTTTTTTTTTTTTTTTTTATGAGTGGAAGAGACAAACTATCCTACATCTATTGGTTTTAAATCATTTTTTAATTTCAGTATAATATATGTAGAGAAAAGTACACATGTCATAAGTGTATACAGCTCAATGAATTTTCAGAAACGGAACACACATGGGTAACTAGCACCCAAATCAGGATATATAGAATGTTTCTCATATTCCAAAAGCCTTCTTTTGTACTTCTTTCCCATCATTATCCTTTCTCCCCAAAAACGAGTCAACACCCTGATGTCTAACAGTATAGAATAGTTTAGTTCATCCATGGATGCAGTGAGCTGAGATCACGCCACTGCACTCCAGCCTGGGTGACAGAGTGAGACTCTGTCTCAAAAAAAAAAAAAAAAAGGAAACCATTGTTGGTTTGGTCTAGTTGAATAAATATTACTAGACATCCACAGTACACTAGGCTCTGTTTTGATGGGCTCAGGATCTACTGGAGAAGACATAAGTCAATAGATGATTTTGGAGTCTGATACCAAGAGATAAATGCATTAGAAACCATGAGGATGGAGAAGAGATGCTTTGATCTGGCATGAGAATAAAGGAAAGGTTTCCTGGAGGTGAAGTTAAATCTTGAAAGAGGAATAAGTTTGTAAGAGATAGGGAGTGAAGAAAATTTTAGACATAGAAAGGAGCATAAACAAGGCATGGAGGACTGGGCATGGTGGCTCATGACTGTAATCTCGGCACTTTGCGAGGCCAAGATGGGAGGATCACTTGAGCCCAGGAATTCAAGATCAGCCTGGGCAACATAGGGAGACCCCATCTCAAAAAAACAAAAAATAAACAAGGCAGGCGTGGGGTGGAGGGCATTAAATAACTTTCAAAGCAGGTTTTCTGAAACTCGCTTTGATTGGATTAACTTAGATCACATATTGACCCAAAACCTATCTTTGTGATTGGGAGGATATGATTGGGGTGTATTAATACTTAATTGGCTCTTGAGAGCCAATTAAATATTAATACATCTCTTCCTATGTCCGCATTAGGGAGTTAACATGTGTAGCTTGAAATTGACCATGATAGGAGTGTTTGCACCACAGAAATTGTCCAACCCTGTGTATCTGGGGCTTTTTATTTTTTATTTTTTATTTTTATTTTTATTTTTTTTTGAGACAGAGTCTCGCTCTGTCGCCCAGGTTGGAGTGCAGTGGCGCGATCTCGGCTCACTGTAAGCTCCGCCTCCCGGGTTCCGGCCATTCTCCTGCCTCAGCCTCCTGAGTAGCTGGGACTACAGGCTACCGCGCCCGGCTAATTTTTTTTTGTATTTTTAGTAGAGACGGGGTTTCACCGTGGTCTCGATCTCCTGACCTTGTGATCACCCCGCCTCGGCCTCCCAAAGTGCTGGAATTACAGGCGTGAGCCACCGCGCCCGGCGGCTTTTTATTTTTTGTAAAAATGTTTTGCTGTTTACCAGTACACCACTAGGTGTAATGATTGGTTTAGGTAAATCCGAGTCAGCCTCAGCTGGCAGTAAAGTCAGTTGCTGTTTACTTTTATTTTCTCCCCTCCCACCAGACTCGTTCTCTGCTCTACTCTACTTTCTTTGGAAAGCTGACTGTATAGAGTACATCATTCAGGCTCTCTTCCTCTGGTTTCCAGTTAGATTTGGCCAACGGGAGGCTTTGGCAGGAGATTGGAGGGCAGGAGAGAGAAGATCAGGGTATGTATTTCCTGCTCCCTCCCTCTCTTGGTGCCATGATCCGTAGTGCCTGTATCCCTCTAACAACAGCCAGTGTCAGGTAGCCCACAGCTCCCACTCTTACCAGGATGTAGTAACACCATTTCCTCCCTTTGCCCTTCAGACCTGGGGATGGTAAAGCCTTTGTGCTGTTGTCAGCCTCCTTAACCTTGGGAAAAGTCCCTTCGAAAAGTGACCTAGGCTGAGCATGGTGGCTCATGCCTGTAATCCCAACACTTTGGGAGGTTGAGGTGGGAGGATTGCCTGAGCTCAGGAGTTTTAAGTCCAGCCCAGGTAACCATGGCAAAACCCCGTCTCTACCATAAATACAAAAAATTAGCCAGGTGTGGTGGCACACACCTGTGGTCTCAGCTATTTGGGAGGCTGAGGTGGGGGATCACTTGAACCTGGGAGGCAGAGGTTGCAATGAACTGAGATCTCGCCACTGCACTGTAGCCTGGGCAATAGAGCGAGACCCTGTCTTGAAAAAAAAAT